GGGTCAGGGCTCAGTCGTATCCACATTAATCTTTGCACTATCGGGAGATAGACTGCGAATGCTCCAGAAACCAAACTTTCTGCAAGAAACGTGGCAAGCAGCACTCTCTAAACACAGCACGCATCCCCCCCATCCCCCCCAGCAGAGGCAGGGAGGTGTGGTAGCTGGGGGTGTTAGTAGGGGTAGCTGTCAGGAGGTGGTGGGGTTGAGGGTAGATTTAGAACAGGTGTGAAACCTGATGTGAGCAGCTGGATGTGGCAAAGTTGGGAGAGGAGGGAGCCAGTGACGCTGGCCCCAAGAACTGTGGGGCGGGGGCGGGGGCGGGGGCGGGCGCGGGGGCGGGCGCGGGGGAGGGGCTCTGGCTGCGGAGCGTCAGTCCGCAGTGCTGGAATCTGTTTCCATCTGCTCATGTAAAGTGCTAAATGTCATTATCCTCCCCTTCCCTAAACAAGAAAAGTCAACAGCCCGAGAAGGAGACATTTCACTTCATTTGGCATCCAGCCACATCATCCATGCAGGGTGCTCCCTTGGCGGGGTGGAGGTGGGGGGTGGGGGGGCTGTCTAGGGATAGAGAGAAACCTTGCACTAAGCAGTTTTTAGCCGCCCACACCTATGCACCTTCGCTGTGAGCGCCCAGGTCAGAGCATAGCCTAGCCTGGCTGGCAATACTGTACAACAGCACCATGCTAGGAAGAGAATGGTGAGCAGAGGAAAGAGTCTATTCAAGGTCACTTCACTTATTAGGGTCTATGCTCTATGGCCCCAGAAAATGAACTTGAATTGGGGAAAATCGTTTCAGAAAAGGTATCAACTCTATAAAAGGACAGACCTGTTGAAAATGAACTGATTTGTTTTCTGTGGCTTTCTCGCCATCCTAATTTTTTCCTTTCCTTTTAAAAATGTCTTCTTTTATTTGTTTAGCTTTCCAGGCAGGCTCCCACTCTGCAGACCTGAAACTCACTATGTAACCCAGGCTGATCTTGATCCCAAGGCGGAGCCTAAGGAGTGCTGGGATTACAGGTGTGAGCCATTATACCTGACTATCAATTGATTCCTTTGTGATGTAGCAATCTGTCTGCTGTAGGTAACGGTTTGTAGACACTCCCACTTGGCGATCAGGAGATGGAAGGCAGGAGCAGGTGAGAGCTAAGGGTCTTTGAAAGCTGCAATTGAGGAATCCTGTTCATTTTTATAATCTTTCACATCCCTCGCCCATACTTCTTAAACAAATGTTCCCAGCGGCCTAGCAGCTGTGAGATCCAGGAGAAGAGAAGGCAGGCAGTGCAAGGACCAAGGCTCCTGCGGCCTCATCTGTGTGATAGTGGTCCTCCCAGCCGCTCAGCAGGCAGAGCAAGGAACTTCCAGGCCTGACCTGACAATGGCTTATTGAAGAGGAACAGCCAAGATCCAGGTCCTGGGACAGCACATTCTTTACTATGCTATAGAAGGACCACTCAGGATAGCTGAGGACAGCTGGGGGCGGGATGCCTTTCAATAACTTCCTTAGGTCTCTAGTAGATCTCTCTCTTTGTAGATCTTAAGTCCTGAGGGTGGTTCGTAAGGTGTTTTCCTAATTGCTGTGCATGGTCCAGACTGCTACCTTTCTGAAGGCAAGGCAAAGACAGGGTTGGTTCTGGCCCCAAAGCTGTTCTGGAGTTTGGCCTGTGTTTACCACGTATTTGATGAAACAGGAAATGGAAGAACTGAGGTTCCCATGGACTTGACAGAAGTAAACGGCATCCCCGAAAGGACTGTGAATGGGGTGGCAGTTTTGGGCTTGACCTTGGGCCAGTCTCTGGGCTTTAGTTTCCCACTCATGGAATCGGGGAGTTGGCACGAAGCTGAGCAGGAGGTACAATGGCCACGGCTCTGGCTGAACTAGACCTCAAGAGTCCCTGGGGTACAGTCCTGGTCACAACATCCATGAACGTCATACGGCAGGATACAATTCCAATAAACCCTTCGTGTTGAGAAAGGTGGGGTTCGTGAGAGGTGAGAGGAGGCAAAGAACTTCCAGGGTTGGGGGGTTGCCTCTGAGCTGAGCACTTGCTAGGACGGTAATGGCTGGGGAAAGCCAGAGAAGAAACAAGATATGGAAGGGCACAGAGGCCACAGAGTCAGGAGCAGAGATGGGGAGGAAGGAGAACAGGCCCAAAGCGCACCAGGAGAGCCCAACTCTGACCAAAGAGGACACATCTGTAAGCCTCCAGTCGGGAGGTGACAGGGAGTGGGGTGGTCTGCCTCCGAGATGACTCTTCATCTGTCTGGGACCTGGTCCGTGTCTGTGTCATCCATGAAGTGAAGAGGTAATGCCACTTGATCTATGCGTAGCACATAGTGGGCAGTCCAGGCAATGGGGTTCTTGACCTATGTGACGTTTGGTTGGTGTGCAGAGAACCCAGGGGGAAATTAGAATGGGTGTTTGCTGACTGCCCATACAATGTGCGAATGAGGTTTTCATAAAACAATAAACAACAAAAAAACGAAACAGGACAGGAGCAGGGGTGCAGAGAGGACAGGGAAGGTGAGTGAGGGTGTTTCTGAAGAGTTTTATTTCAGGGACTTCGGGATGCCTTCCAGGAAGGCTGACCAAAGCAGAGAGGCTTGCTAGGTGCTGATGGCGAGGTAGGAACTGGCTCTGAGCACCAGGGCTTAAGTCAGAACCCTGCCGGCACCCATGCACCGTGCTACCTTGGTCTGTTTCAGCTAGACTTTTCTGGCTGAGGGCTTGAGACTACTCAGTTAAACTTTCAGTGTGGCCCTTGGGACTCCAGTGGCAGTCGCTCAGACACCTGGGATAGAAAGTCACATCGGAGACAGCTATCATCTTTTCTGTCAGGAGACTTGAGAACTATCCTGTTTTCCCTGCATGTTTGTAAAATTCTTTTCTTCAAGCGGCAGTTTCAGTGACCTCTCGTGCCTGCTCCCAGACTCCTTGCCCTGCAAAATTTCCTGCAAGTGCCCCCTTTCTGCCCTACGGGTATTTCAAATTTGTAGAACGTTTCAAAACACCCATTCATAATTTCAATGGGGGGAGAAAATCTGCTTTGATTTCTCCCACCCCTCAGGTGTAGGAAACAACCCAGGGCCTCAGTGCTTGCTAGGTGAGCCTTCGACTAAACTATAACCCAACGCAGAAAACATCTGGCTCTGCTTACCCTGCCGGGTGGCCTGTCTTGAGTGCCATAACTAGACTCAATTATCCACGTGGGGCCTCTTTGGGATCCGACTTCATCAGGGCATCAGCACCTGACTCAGGAGGAAGACGCTCGATTTTTGTATGGTCCTCCAGCGTCCTCACCCTCTTGTTCCATGGTCTCAAAGAGCAGCCGCACTAGTGTCGGCCGTCCCTGGGCTACCAGGGCACTAGCCAGGCCCAGGACCTCATCTGTGTGGCCGCGCCACACCCGCTGCAGCTCCTGGCGCAGGCGTGCCGCTGGGTACTTGCTCTGGGCGTGGCACAACCAGATGTCCACCTCGCAGCCCACCTCGCTGTCGCTCAGCTGTGCCTGGCTCCACTGAGCCAGTAGCGCCTCGAGCAGGCAACCAAAGCTTTCGGTGTGGCTGGATCCCATGTCGTCCAGTTCCACTGCACGCTTGAAGCAGGCCGCAGCATTGGCATCCTCGCCCTGGACTCGCAAGCATTTGCCGCGCAGCAGCTGCAGCTCGGGCAGCGTGTCTCCCAGCTCCAACTCACCAGCCTTCGCCAGGAAGACCAGCGCCTGGTTGAGCGCGGCTTCATCCACAGCCAGCAGCTCCCTCATGGCATCCACGCCCATGTAGTAGTAAACCTGAATGGGGTGGCCTCTTAGCCTTTCTCCTTCACACCCTACCCGCCTAATCCGTTCCCACCATTTCTCCTGCCCCCTGGAAAACCCTGTACCAGGGTTCTAGTCCCAGCTCCTCCACATCTAGCCTTAAGCCCTCCCACATACAATTATGATCACCTTTGATAGCCCTTCCCTGAGCACATTATGGCCTGTACTGACTGCTGAGGGGGTAGAGGGTGGGATGAGGGAGGCTTCTAAACATCTACACACATTATTTAGTCCAATCCACAGGACAGTCGGGGGAGGAGAGAACAGGGCAGACACCACGCATTCCTCTCTGTCCTCAGGGTCCAGGTAGCCCTTGTCTCTTACCTGGCCGATGTCTAGGTAGGTCCTGAGGCCTGGGTGCACCTTGATCACTTCCTCAAGGTCAGCTTTGGCACAGGCCAGGTGGTTCCTGTCTGGCATGCCCCCGAGTCCCACCTTGGCCCGTTCCAGGTCGTGGACATAGGCTCTGATTCGAACCTGCAGTAGAGGGGCAACTCAGGGGAAACCCTCTACACAAGGCATCTGCCTCCTTTCTGATCTCACGAAAAGGCCAGGTTGCTTCTCGGCAGCAACCAGGGGCATCCTGTGTGGCTGCAGAAAGCCTGCCACCCCAGACTGGGACCCAGGAGCCCTGGGTCTTAGTTCTGTGCCAGCTAGGGTAACCACTCTCCATTCTGGACCTGCCTCCCTGCTTAGACAGTGAGCAGCAGGATGAAGGAAGAGCATTCATCTATCCTTCCCTCCATCCCTCCATCCATCTATTCTTCCAGCAAACACGTATTGAATGCCCCACAATCTGCCATATAACCTGGAGAAAGTGTCTTAACATCAGAACTCCATTTTCTAAATTGAAAAGCTGGCAATTCCCAAAGCGAACTATGTGTCAGGCACTGAGGACACAGTGGAAAACAAAATGACAGAAGTGTGAGCTTCTGTGTCAGTAAGGAGAAGCAATCAACAGGACAAAGAGTAAACAGTGTCTTGGGTGTTAAAAAGGAAAAGTAGTCGAGCGGTGGTGGTGCACGCCTTTGATGCCAGTACTTGGGAGGCAGAGGCAGGAGGATCTCTGAGTTCGAGGCCAGCCTGGTCTACAGAGTGAGTTCCAGGACAGCCAGAGAAGCCCTGTCTCAAACAAACAAACAAAAGAAAGAAAGAAAAGTAAAGCAGGGAAGGTCAGAAAATACTGGCAAGTAGTTTGACATTTTCAATAAGAGGCCGTTAGAAAAAAGCTGAAGCTTTGTCAGGCCTGCAGGAAGGGAGGAAGTCAGTCAGATATCGACCAAGCAGGCACTCTAGGTGGAGACCCAGGCCAACAGGATGGAAGAAAGGCGTCAGGACAGGAGCTGGACAAAGCTATCGTAGCCAGGTCTGGGCTCCCGGCTTCCATCCTTGTCCTGTGCGTTCCCTTCTGTCCATATTCCCTCTTGCTCTGGTCATCTGAGTAGTAAGTGTGACCTTTGGAGCCACAGGGAGCAGATGGAGGAGCTACGGCTGTCATTCTAGCAAAGTGAAGGCAGGATCTCGAGGAAGCTGGCTGCCACCCTGTGCCATGCCCCTTCCGTAGACCGGCACATGCCTCACTTCTCCGGGGATTCTCGGGGCGATTAAACAGAGCACAGCTTGGAAGATTTTTGTAACACTACCTTCTGGCTTTACAGTGAGTATCCTTATTATCAGTAGCAACTGCATCAACTACAGGGCAGATGTTTTCTGTTTACTTCCTGCAGCCATGGAGACCGGATTGGAAGCACAATGAAAAGATAGTAGAGCCGATGAGGGGTGTGTGTGCGGGGACTTATTAACCTGGAGAAAAATGAGTTCAGAGCTGTAGGTGTGGCCTCAAGCAGCTGAGTTCTGAGGGGTTCAGAGGTAGAGCTGGGTCCAGCAAGGAGAACCGAGGGAGGCAACTCTCACCTCAGCGTGTGACTGGGAGCCCTGAGGATATGGTGTAGCCCAGTCTCCCGACAGACAGTGAAGTCGCTAAAGATGGACCTCATAATAGCGATCAGTCAGTCACGAACGGACTCCTGGGATACGTTTGCTTCCGTGTTTACACACAGCACCAAACAACTCTTGGCTCAAAAGGCAGGCATTTCGGGTGTCTAGACGATTCCTAAGCTCTCTGCCAGGAAGATTCCAGGGCACTGGCCCCAGGATCTTTGCTCTTGACCTTTGGCCTCTTATTCCTGGACAGCAGAATGAGGCGGGGCTGTCTCACCTTGGCCCTGGTGCTGTATGCCTGCCAGTTGAGCTGTGGGTCTCTAAGCACATCCAGGGCCATGTTGCAGGTTCCTATGGCCATATCCTGCTTTCCTAGGAAGTGGAAGATTTTGGCCAGGCGATTCAGGATGGGAGGATGGTCCTTGGCGATCTCAATAGCCTAAGAAGGGAGGAAGGGAGGGATGAAGCATAAAGCTGAGCCACCACACTCACAGCTCCTACCTACCCATGGCCAGCATCCCCATGGCTTTAGTCATACAGTAACCACTTTGGGCAAACCGACCAGCCCCAAATTCCTTGGAGTCTAGCTCACTGGCACATTCTTAAGCTTTTCCTCTCCTGTCATGTGGCTGATAAGACGTAGGCCAGAGTCATCCTCAACCTCCTCATACTTATGGGGCTTCTAGCTGGGCCAGGGGCTCCCTGCCAATGTTGGTATTGATTGCTGATTGCTACAGGTGGTTCTAAATGACTTGTCTCAGGGCCACAAGGCCTGAGGGCAGACCCAGTAAAGAGGTCCCAGTTAATCTGTCCCTGGGAGGGAAAGGAAACACAGCCAGGGAAGAATTGTTTCCATTTCAAGGCTGGAGGGATGGGTGTGGGCCATTTCTGGTGGGGGTGGTGTTGACCTTGGGCAGAGCAGAGCTAGCGTGAAGGAAGGCTTGTCCTTTGGGTGAGGAGAGGATGGAGATGGAGGGCTGGAGTAGGGTCCTTTCTGGGTCGGTCACACGGTGGGGTTGACCCAGAGAAGCAGAGGGCTCTGGGGAAGCCCAAGTTTGCGAAGTGGGTGTACCCAGGACATACACATACCTTGCCAAAGCAGTCCAGGGGCTCCGTCCCTGAGTACCCGCATTCGTGGACACCCATGGGGGTGGTGAAGAAGGTGTCCTTCCTCTCCAGCAGCATGCCAACATAGCACCAGGCCAAGGCTGGGTGAGGGCAAGAGAGGGTGGGGTCTCTAGGCAGCAGTGGAGGCAGGGTGAGCGTAAGCGGGGATGGGGGCCACCTCCTCCTCTGTAGGCATTGGTCCCCATAAAGATAAAGAAAAGGACCACAGTGTGAGCCAGAGACAGAGAAGAGGAAAGGCAGAGGGAGATTAATGGCAGGACAGGTCTGGGGCTTACTCTGTGTCTAAACATGTCACACAGGAGATGTAATTTCAGGGACATAGCTCTTCTGGCTTCCTGGGGGGTTGCAGTCCCTGTGATGGCTGTTTGGCCTTCAGAACGAGTGACTAACCTGTCTCCTACACAGTCTTCTTCCCTAACCATAGACGGGGGCAGAAGTTTGTGGAGACACATGCTGTATATTCCAAGATATGGGTCTGTGTCATTGTACGCTTAGTGGGTTTGTGTCTGGTGATGGTCTTACCATCTAACACAAGCTATTTTAGCACTCTGGACGTCCTACCTCAGGCTTCTGAGTAGAGAAACAAAAGGTCCCAAATAAAAGCAAAATTCCTATGCTTTTACAGCCTGGCCACAACCTTTGGAACCTGACCCCATGGCTCCTTGGACAAATGACCAATCTCCAGGAAAACAACTTCCTGCCAAAGTTCCTACTAAACAAGATGACGCGGGGTGGAGCCTCTTCACCCACTTAGGGTTCTCTACACAAATGGTGTAGGAAACAATGCCAAGTAACCCCCCTCAACCGCCGTAAAAGAAACTCCCTCTCAGCAGCTACTCTCTCTTCCCCGAAGAAGCAGTGATCTCCCTGCTACTTCCTTGAAGCATACCTCAGTAAACTCTTTTTGCCTGTTTCCACGTGGATAAATTGTTTTACCACCGGTTCAAGCTCTCTGCATGATGTTTCACTTGCCACTCAGTGCTGGGACCACAGGTTTTGACACCTGGGTCTGCTCTGCTAAGGAGCTTGGGCTTCCTTGGGTAAACATAGGTTTGTGAGGTGAGCCAGGGTGAGGCAAAAAGAGACAGGGATGGAGTCAGACAGAACTACTGACAGGGGCAGGACAGCAGAACAGAGGCTCTTCAACCCCACCCGGAGTGCCCACCTTGGTGTCGGGAGTCTGAGGCCTTGAGGACTTGGCGGAGCAAGGCCAGGGTGCGGTTGAAGGCTGGCAGTCTTTTCTGCTCCTCGCTGCCCATCTCTAGCAAGATGCCGTCCAGCCTGTGGACAGGAAAGGGCTGTGGCCATCCTCAGAGTGCTGCCACGGCACCCACCCACCTCTACTCCATCTTCAGCCTGGCTCCCAGGCCACGCCTCTTCCACCATCCCCAACCCATCCCCAGGCCTGACCTGATGAAGAGCGTTGCCATGGTGAAGTACCAGGTCCTTTTCTCTTCTATTGGGATCTAGGAAGCAGAGAATGACATGCTGTATGATGGTTATGGAGACACTCAGGCTGGTGCTCACAGGCACCCATGCTTGTGAGCCTGAACTTGAAGAGGCAACAGGTACGGGGCGGGGGTAGGGGGGCCTTTGGCCATCAACAGCCTTGATGTCGGTGCCTGTTTGGGCAGCCTTAGGCAAACTGCTTTACTTCTCTGATCAAAAAGCTTTTGAGATGAGCCACATGAGTCCCCAGTGAAGCAGCCCTCGCAAAGCAGGTGTGGAACATGGTCTTCCTCAGCTAACTGTACTCAGTCTCTGGTCCCCCAGCCCCAGCTTTGCTCAGCTGTGTTCTCCTTTCTTCCTTCTGGAACCTTCCGCTTCCCTCTGGCACCTTCCCCACTTCCACCTTCCCAAGAAAGTCTCTCTGGGGATGTTAAGTGAGTCCACCGAGCTCAGCTCACCCGGCCTCCCTGAATATTTTCCCGTTATTATTCTTGCCAACCCTGCTGTGCATTTAGACTGACTCGGGCACCCGATAAAATATTTATGCTGCTATTTACGGGAGTAGCTCCTCCTGCCTTGGGAAGGAATTTTAATGAAAACCAATAAAGTCCCCAGTGCATATCGGGCAGCTCTGCCTCTGCCTCTGGCCCCTCCCCCACAGTCATCTCCCTGCCCACCTCTCCTGCCTTCTCAGCTCTCATTTGCCTCATTCCCTACACTTCTCCCCCTCCAGCAACGTTCAGACCAGCCAGCCTTCCTGAGCACCTCTGAGGTGCTGCGGGGATGTGGCCTCCTGTGACGATTGAACCCTGACATTACGAGGCTTATAAACTGGCCAGGGAAACAGACCTGGGTATGGAGCGGCCTGGTGTGTGTGCCAAGGTTCTCATGCCCGTTGCCTGAGCTCACAGCAAACCTAGGACCTGGATATTAGTTCCTCTACAGGTAAATACACTGAGGTGCAGAGAGGGAAGTGACTTGCCCAGGATAGCACAGTAGGAGACGGCAGCTCTGGGGTTGGTTTAGCTCCATAGCCCATGTTCCTGGTTCCTGTCACCATGCAGATTGTCAAACCCTGGAGGAGGGGCAAAGTCCGACCAAAGCCCTGATAGTGGTGGCAGGCCATCTACAGCAGGAAGACGCCACTCCCAGCCAGAGGAGGTATTTTATTTTATTTTATTTTTTTGAGACAGGGTTTCTCTGTGTAGCCCTGGCTATCCTGGAACTCTCTCTGTAGACCAGGGTAACCTTGAACTCAGAGATCTAAATGCTGGGATTAAAGGTGTGCATCACTACTGCCCAGTTAGAGGATGTATTTCCAAGCTGGGTCTTGACTAGGTTGTGGCACTTCAGAGGGAGAGACAGGGACCAGGGTATCTGGGGGCGGGAGAGAGGGGGCTTGAGCAGCTTCTCCACGTGATATGAGGGAATGAGTAACCCGGAGGGCAAAGAACACTGTGTGTGTGAGTGAGGTGGAGGGAGTCACAGCCAGTGAACGGGATCTTGGGTAAAGTGTGTGTGTGTGTGTGTGTGTGTGCGCGCGCGCACGCGCGCGTGTGCATGTATGTATGTAACCTGGAAGGCAAAGAACATTGTGAAGTGAGGAGGAGGGAGCCGGAGCCGGAGCCGGTGAATGGTGAACGGTCCAAGGCTAGGCAGTGATGTCAGGAGAGGGAAGGTGGTCCCATCTTGAAGGCTTTGGCCAGATGTAAAGGCACAATTAGAATGGAAGGGCTGAAGGGGCTGTGAGAGTCCTGAGGAGATGTCCTCCCCAGACTGGGGTCCCCCAAGGCTTTCTGAAGAAGTGGCACTAGAACAGTGTCCTCAAGGAGAGAGGGTGCCGCCAGAAGGATACAGCAAGAAATGCTATTCCCGGAGGACTGGCCATCATGGGCAGAAGTTCAGAGATGGCAGGAGAGTGAAAATGGGGTCTGCATGTGACCAGGGCTGGAATCCCTAACCCAAAGAGTTGGGGAGCCAGGGGGGAACATTGTGAAGGGTCAAAGTACAAGGCTTAGAATTTGGTGTGCTTTTCTTCTCCTAACATTTCAGTGGGTTAAACCGTTCCTAGGAGGGGCTATGTATGCCAGGGCTTTGACTGTGAAAAGCACTATGGGGAACAGAGGGGCAGGCCCCAAGGGTTCTGGGGCATCCTTGAGAAATGGGGAATATTTCCAAAGCACAAAGTGGGGATAGGATGGTAGATTACCTGTCTGTTGTCCTTACACTGGTCCTTGGAAGGGAGGGAGGGCTCAAATTTATGGGGCACCTTTTCTGGGCTACCCTGGTCAAACACTTGCCCATGAGTGGCCTGTGGTGCCTCAGGCTGCCTGGCTGCTTGTCGGTGTGACCTCAGACCTCTGGTCTGGTCACAGGCCTGCTTTGTGATGGTCTAACATGAGTCATGGAGGGAAGAGGCCCCATGCTTTCTTCCGTGTTTCTGATAAGGGATGGGAGAGGCCCATACAAGAGCTGGTAGAGTGGATTCTGGTTTGGAATGAGCAGAGCAGAGGCTGGGTGGCTCATGGGTCTGAGTGGTCCAATTAGGTGGTCCTAGGGATGAGTATCTAGGGGCTGCATCCTTATCTGCAGAGGAGGGTAGTGCTGTCTGCCTCAGAGGCAAACACTCCTTCCATCTCTCCTGGTGTGGGCTGGGGCTGCTTTGTCTACTGTATGTGGTAATCTGCTTCAGTGCCCCAAATGGCCCTAGGGCTTCAAGGCCTGGAACCTGAAGACACCCTCCACACCTTATTCCCGTCTCTAGGGCTACAGCCATCTATCTGTCTTGCTTCCATAGCACCCGGGTATTAGATGTGCTCATCCATTTTGTTTTGTTTATTGTTTGAGACGGCATCTCATTGTGTAGCCTAGGCTGTCCCGGACTTGCTGTGTAGCCCAGGATTGCTCCAAATGCGTGATTCCATGTGCTTACATTATAGGTGTGTACACTACACCCGCCTGACCCACTGCCTTTGGGCAGGGTTCCTCTTGTGTGTAGACACTCCTTCCATTGGCACTCAGGTCCAAAGACATTACCTTATTTGCCCAAACCACATGGCCAGGGAATGGCAGAGCTTGAAGCTAAGCTCATCCCTTCACGGTCCTAACCTCCAGCCTTTCCCACAACCGCCGCCGCTGTTACCAATCTCCTTGTTATGTATCTGGGAACCCTGAGACCTAAGAGGTGGGATGATTTACCCAAAGCTCCACATGCATTAACATCAAGGCCTGTGAGCAGACACTTCCCCCGCCACTCTGCTCCCTCTCAACACCCTCGGATTCAGAACCTGCTTACTAAGAATTTCACAGTGGAAGCCATGTCACTGCCTGGTGGCACTATCTGAACTGCAGGGACAACTCTTAGGCCTACACTCTTCTGTCTCCCCGGCCCTCCAAATTTGGAGACTAAACTGATTTTCAGAACTGTAGCTCTCTAACCGACACAAGTGACAAATCTCATTTGTGATGCCGAAGGCGGGCTTCTGGGTTACGGATGGGGTCAGCGGATATGGAGTAGAGGCCTCGGAGTGGTTGCTGTCAGCCAGGAGCAGCTCCTGGATGCTGTTCCCTCTGCAGTGCAATGCCAACATGAAAATAGCCTGTCCCTTTAAAAGTCCTGGCTGTTTCGGAAGCCGCAGCTGAAGCTGTTACCAGGGGCAACCTGGCAAGCCACGGTGCATTAAATTAAATAGGCCTGTGGCTGCTGTGTGCTCCTGCTGAAAGGAGGGAGATACTTGCCTCTCTCCTGCTGAGGAGTCTTAGCGGCAGGCAAGGGCACAGCCCCAGGGTTCCCAGCTCCCAGAGGCTGAGGGTTTAGGCAGCCTGGGAGGAGGCAAAGGCTGAGAACGCAATGAAAGGAGTTTCTAGGACCGCCAGGTCTGGGCTCTGCCTGGGACACCCCATGAGAGGGGCCAGTCAGCATCAGAACCTAGGTGTCAGGCTGGCCCTCTTCCTGGGACAGATTCTCAAGAAGGAGCTGCTTGAGGCCCAGCCTGAGTCTGCAGTCACCCTGGGACTAGCTGCAGGTGAGCGCGGGTGGGGGTGGGAGTGGGGGGGGAGGATAGTCCCTGAGGGGTTCCCTAAGTAAGCATCAGCCTGTTCCCCTTCTCATTTTGCGCCTCCCCGCTGAGATGGGGAAAGCCACCTCTGTCTTCAAGTTCACATTTTTTCCCCACACTATCCAACAGCAAAGAGTCAGGGTTTAAACCGTGGTTACCACTTGCAAAGCACATTCTCACAGCTTACTTAGGGCTTCTGACTGCCCCGCGCGGAAGGGAAAGTGAGAATCATTACCATCTTAGTACAGATGGGAAAACTGAGGCAAGATGCTGTCCTCGAAGTCACATGACCGACGTGAAAGCCTGGACCAAGACGTACGGACGCTCCTCGCATTCTATCCACCCCACACACCCCCACGCCCGTTTAATGAGGGAGGGTCTTACTGCATGTCCTGGGCTAGCC